AAAAAAAAAAAAAAAAGTAGCCAAATCGATACAACAGTCCACATAAATTACAAAAGAACAGAAGCAAAGAGAGGAAAGAAAAATATCCAACAGTTGATAATTTTACAGAAAACATTAGGACAGCAACATTGTTACCGATGCTCTACATCAAACCAGAAAAAGAGGGAAGTCCGAGCATAAATGACACGAACTCGCTGCAACGCAAGGGTTCCACTTGTCAAAACAGCCTTTGCACCGCCTTCAATTCGAGTTCGAGAAACAGAAACACGATTGTCACAACTCTCCAATGAGGATTGGAGCACCTCAGGGCCACTGGCTGTGCTCACAATAGCATGGGAGAGATGATCCAATGGGTTTGATTCACATTGAAGAATGCACCCATCAATTGTCAGCCTCCCACTCCTATGAAGCAAGCAGCAACCTAGTTCCGCTTTCACTGTCAAGTTCGACAGTTTGCAGGTTGACAGGAACTCCAGTGCACTGCTCAAACACAAGGAACAACTACATACAAAACTTGTAGATTGTACACCAGATAGTTTAGATTATTCTCCAAGAGCCCACTCCAAGCTGGTGGATAGCTATTCTTATGGGCCAATGAACTAGGCAAGTTTTATTTTCTACAGAAAAATATTTAACCCCCTCCCTCTTTCCCCCCAAAAAAAAAAACTCTCAAAACTGGGAAAAAAAAACAACAAAAAAAAGACTTCTGGAGTATACTGTTTAGGCGTGCAGAGAACATACATGTGGGATGAGCAGACAGATTTGAACAATTTTAGTACTCAAGAGGCATAACAGCTTCTGATATCACAGTCCAAAACTGTCCCCTAACAATACAATAACAGACACCCAAACCAAGCAAGGATGGCCCCCAAGAATAAGCACGTGCAACTTTTCAGGGGTGCTTGAGAGCTCATGCTTGGGGCTTGGAGGAGAAGTCCTACAGTTAAAGTTATCTGCCAAATCCACCAGCTTGAAGGTGGCTCCTCAATTATCTTTTGCAAGAAAACTCTCATAAGATCACCACTCAGAAAAAAAAATGCAGAATATTACAAAATATAACCAGACCTGTCCGAACCCCGGGAACAGATGAGTGTTGTATTGTCAGGAAGCTCGCCCCCACCAATCTGTATAAAAGTTGAGGTAGAAAAATGCAAACGGTAATATTGCTACAGATAAATAATTATTCTCCTTTAATCTGCACAGAAGTTAATGAGATCAGGTTGGGCTCCTGAGGTTTCAACNAAAAAAAAGACTTCTGGAGTATACTGTTTAGGCGTGCGGAGAACATACATGTGGGATGAGCAGACAGATTTGAACATTTTTAGTAATCAAGAGGCATAACAGCTTCTGATATCACAGTCCAAAACTGTCCCCTAACAATACAATAACAGACACCCAAACCAAGCAAGGATGGCCCCCAAGAATAAGCACGTGCAACTTTTCAGGGGTGCTTGAGAGCTCATGCTTGGGGCTTGGAGGAGAAGTCCTACAGTTAAAGTTATCTGCCAAATCCACCAGCTTGAAGGTGGCTCCTCAATTATCTTTTGCAAGAAAACTCTCGTAAGATCACCACTCAGAAAAAAAAAATGCAGAATATTACAAAATATAACCAGACCTGTCCGAACCCCGGGAACAGATGAGTGTTGTATTGTCAGGAAGCTCGCCCCCACCAATCTGTATAAAAGTTGAGGTAGAAAAATGCAAACGGTAATATTGCTACAGATAAATAATTATTCTCCTTTAATCTGCACAGAAGTTAATGAGATCAGGTTGGGCTCCTGAGGTTTCAACGGCAATATCTATTTTAAGAGTGTGTGTTGTAGATATGATATGGGTATAGTCCAGTAAGAGGTCCATATTTTCTTAGCGTGCACTTTTTGTTCCTTGATAAACACCTAAATGCACATCTGCTATGAAAGTCAACTCTATCAAACCTAAATGTGCACATGCCCCAAGTCCTCCTGCTAATTTTCTCAAAGCAGCTAGTTCGCGTTTATTTGCCAAAAATATGATACCTTAAACTCAACAAACTAAACAAAACATTTTGAATGCTAAAAGTCTAAGAAAAAAATCTCAAATCCAACCCCATTATAAAGACTACCACATTGTGTGACAAATATTTATCAATCAAGACAAGCAAAAAGATTCATTGATAGCAGTTAGCAAAAAGAGGCATAATCTAATGAGTAAAAAGAGAACAAAATATTACAACAGTGTTGATAAACGTCAGCCCTTCAAGGGGAAAAAAAAATTACCCATCTAATCAGCTAAATTATGCAGGTAGTTAAAAATAAACAAACAAATGCACAAGTGCGCAGTTACTGAAACAATAGTATTAACTATATTACAACAGTTTTCAAATGTACCAAGAAAATAAGATGCTGATCCGGCCAACCTAATTTTTGTAAGGACGTATGTTCTAAATTAAGAAACTAAAAGGATAAACCTACTATTTCAGCAACCACACTTTGTGCAACAACAATAACACATATAATTTTCACCTAAATATAACAAAACTGAACTGACATTGCAAGGAAAGATATCCGAGCATACCAGGCAAAGTGGCTTCTTAATCTGAATATTAGAAGCAACATGACTTCCTCCAGCCGCAATCAGAATGGTATCACCAGGACTGCAGGAGAAAAAGTCTTGATTAGCTTTTCATGGCTTACTGCATAACCCAGGTATCAAATATAAGCAGATGCACATTTACTAACCTTGCAGCAGAGACAGCTGTTTCAATGCTGGGAAAAACTCCAGGCTGAGATAAATCTTTCACAGACCGATCTACTCGCAACCATAGCCGAGGGTGACATGCCAGGAAGCACCATCTGTGGCAAACGAGGGCGGTGTTATACCGATCTGCAAACTCAACGGCAGTTTGTGACAGAGACCACACATAACTATACCATACATGCTTTGAGGCTAGCAAGATCGAATGCCACTATAATTGCACTGTAGCATGAATGAAACACCATGCCAAACATTTTATGTGATTATTTAAACTCAAAACTTTCAATGTCATCAGATTAGTGCTGCTACAGATGTGGTAAATATATAAACATTCCAAATATCTATATTCTATCAAATAAGCATGGAATGCAGAAGCCATTGCAAGAGAAAGCAGCTATAAATATCGCTTTTCCAAGATTTGATTCAATTAGGATCCCATCTAATGATTTGACTCTAGAAATCTCCAGTGCAATTTAAATTTTGCCATGCCAGCACCAGCAAAAGGTCAAAGAATCACCATATCAGAGTACCACTAACTAGTTCATTTTTTAATCAGAACATTACTTTCTTTTTGAAGCAATACAATCTCCATCACACCTTCAGATAGTGAACATTATGAATAGAAATTCTGTAAGAACATGTATGAATATCATTTGGAGTTGAAAGTCATCTAACAAAGCTGATCTTGTCAAATAAATCTTCTAGCTATGAATCATCAGATGATGGATCTCCAAATCCAAACCTGTTTAAGATCAAACGAGTTATATCATCGAAGTTCTTAGTTTGTTAGTTTCAACACCGAGTAAGAAAAACTTAAACCTAAAATGTTATACTGCACTTAATATAAATGGTTATCTGTAGTCTGATCTAATTAGGGATTATTTACCTAATTTGATTGGAGATTAGACCATAAATAGCACAAATCTCTATTATTTTCACTAGAGTGTGAAAATGAATACATTGAGCATGAGATCGATTCATTGTATGTTTCTTGGCCTAATCATTGTGAGGATTTGGTAAACCTCCTCGATTTTTCTTCTTCTTTTATTCACTGCTCTTCTCCTCTTTCCCATTTTGCATCAATTAGTATCACGGACCAACAGTGATCAATCTTTAATCAAATTGTGTTTCTACAAATCCATTGTTCACCACCATCAACTCTTCCTTCATCCTGACTTGCTACCATAGTTTCTTCACAATGAGATTCATTGTCATCAAGTTGGCTTGTGCAGATAAAATTACCACTATTCTTTGTCATCAACCCTCAATTGCCAATCATCACTTGTGAGAACTTGTTGTTCTGTTATTAACTTAGTGATATTTTTCTTCACGTTAATCTCTTTCCCAGCATCTTCGNAAATTACCACTATTCTTTGTCATCAACCCTCAATTGCCAATCATCACTTGTGAGAACGTGTTGTTCTATTATTAACTTAGTGATATTTTTCTTCACGTTAATCTCTTTCCCAGCATCTTCGACGTCGTCCAATCTCGGCCTTGTTTGCTGTTGTCATCTATCATCACTCTACTCCTAGGGGAAGAGTGGGAAAACAGGGTTGGTTTCGAATATGTCTTTGACGAAGAAGAAGCTGCTATGTAATAGAAGTGGGTTATAAACCATTCAGCTCAACCCAAATCTAGAAACCAAAATAAAGTTATTCCAACCCAAAGAAAAATAATGAACCCAAGCCCATTTGATCCAGGCCCAACCCAAATTTTAAAACAATCTCAAAATCAACTCCACAATTTATTAAATTCCAGAATCTACGCCATATATGCTGAAATTACATAATATCACTAGATTTTCTTAAAATTTTTGAAAAAAAATTCAATTTTCAAACAATTTCCAAATGACTATAAAAAAAGATGATCACAAATTCTTAATAGGTTGGGCGCTAGCACAGTGCGCTTGACCTCACTACTATTTAGTTTGATAGGAGTATGTGACTGCAACTTGCTACTTTCTGTTCAAGTAGAGCCCGCTGCCTACTCTACAAGTCACCACACCTTTGCCGGCGCCACTTGTATAAAGACAACAATAGTGCCCGNTATTTAGTTTGATAGGAGTATGTGACTGCAACTTGCTACTTTCTGTTCAAGTAGAGCTCGCTGCCTACTCTACAAGTCACCACACCTTTGCCGGCGCCACTTGTATAAAGACAACAATAGTGCCCAGACCTTCCCTTCGTATAGCTCATTGAACCTGCCAACTTCATTCCCTGGCTGTGCTAAAGAAGCGCTTCTCAACTAATTCCTTTGAACTTATTTCACCTATTCGATCTCTTCAAACATATTTGAGGGTTCAATGTGACTATTGTCACTTTGGCCCACACACAAGATGAGACTTTACCACCATGGAACANTTCCTTTGAACTTATTTCACCTATTCGATCTCTTCAAACATATTTGAGGGTTCAATGGACTATTGTCACTTTGGCCCACACACAAGATGAGACTTTACCACCATGGAACGGCTTTTTGCAAAAAAATGAGGGTGAAACTCAGTAATATGTCTACGACGCGAAAGATACGAAATCCCAAACGTAGATTGCTCATGATTACTTGTTGGACTTTAGGTGTAAGCCAAAACACGTAATGATGGGATAAAGCATCTGGCTGCACTAAAAGCATAAATCAATTTGCTAAAAGAAACTATACTGATTATTACTGTTGGAACTAAGCCAAAGGAAAGTATCAGTTTAATTAGTGCTTGGACAAGTCCTCCACAACCACAAGCCCTAGTCCACTTTAATGAAGAACCACTTGTTGAGTTGTCACCCATATGGGATCTTAGGCCTATTGACCTAGCCTTACCATCTTCTTCTAATTCCCAATACATTGATTCTTGTTATAAAAGTATCCAGGATCATTCTCTTTGCGAGCCCATTGATATTATTCCCCATGAGCCTTGTTGATCTCCATATAGAGGACATGCTAGGCACTTCACAGTATCCTATTTTGCTCCTAGGTCTTTTCAAAGATGGCATTGCTACTTTTTCTCCATAAGTTCATATGCTTCCTTCACCTGACTAGAGTATTATGGTCATGAAGAGTCGAGATATTGTTTTTTCTCAGGGTACCATTTTCAGTACTATTCATCAAAGCGCAAACTTATTCTGATGTTATCAAGATTGAGGACGTGTCTAGCCAACTTACTTCAAATCTCCTGGGGTACCTCTGCTATTACAAATCTTCATAAAAGAGTTTTTTTTTCTCAGCCAGAAAAATATGATTGATTGAAAGAGAATTGGATAAAGATGAAATTAAAGATTATGGTTTTATACATTTATTTTAGTATTATTCTTCTACTCTATGCTCTTCTGTCTCCTTCCCATTCTGCATCAATATGTCTTCTCCTAATATAACAAAGCCAGTAAAGAAAAGCATGTCTCTGCAAAGATCAAACTGATACAACACATTATAAAGCCAGAAAACCGCAAAATTAGTACAAAAAATACAACAACATGAATAAAACATCATCAAAACTCCTCTTTACACAGTTTGGTAGATGTTCTCAAATATAAGATTGTCGGGGTATTAAACCAACTTATACAGATTGAACTGAAACAAGTCCTACTCACGCAAAATTGAGAATCATAGATGATATATAGTGAAAATCTGATCTTTATACTGTTCGAATTGATCAAACGAAAGATGGGATGGTCACTATCAATGTTGAAAGTTCAAGCAATTATTATTCACAAACATTAGAGTTTTGGGAACATATGTGGGGTTTATATTTATATGCGCAAAAGGAATTTAAAATCTAACCTTTAAATCTTGCAATGGAACTAACAAAGAAAATTAGGGTCTTGGAACCGCGTATGTGTAGATGGACAAACATAGTGAAAACGAAAAATCTTATCTTTACACAGATTAACAGACGAAATTCGAAAATGGGTTCTCAGAGAATTGAACTAAATCGCTCATAATTGAACAAACAAAGAAAATTAGGATTTTGAAACTTAAAAACTCTAATCTTTACAGAGATCAATAGAACAAATTTAGAACCGGGTTGTTCGAGAATTGGATTAAATCGTTTTCACTCGAACAAAGAAAGAAAATTAGGGTTTCTGAAAAGTGAGCATTTATGTATATACCTGGGATAGGGGTTAAGAAACTGAAGATGTGCATGAGACAACCATCGTCCAGATTGTTTATGTTACAATCTTGTGGTGATGAGTGTTTGGTGAAACGCTTCCACTTGTTTCGCTTCTCTTCCATAGAGAACAAAGGGGTGGGTGGTCACGGGCTCACCAAACAAGCTCAGCTGCTGCTGCTTCTTCTTCGTCTTCTCCCCCTTCGGCTTCTGTGGAAGCTTTTTGTGGTTACACAATAATAGATTGGGTTGTACGGATTGACTTCCTTTTGATACAACACTTCATACAAGGATGGCTTTAGATGGTGCAATTGTGTTTGACCCGACCCACTTGCACAATCATGAGATTCTTTCAATAAATTTTTTGGGTAAATTACACAAGAACCCCCTTGAACTTACGGTCAGTGGCACATCACCACCTTAGACTTTTATGAATTACACTTAATCCTCTTCTACTTATAAATAAACTGCAAATCTAACAAACTACGAATTCCAACGGTGTTTTGAGTTACATGCGCCAATCAAATTGCATGAACTATGAATGTGTTCTATGTTGAATATGACAATTTTACTCTTTTCAAGTTCAAAAAAAATAATTATAAAAACAAAACAAAAACATCTAATAAAAGTCAAACTCTAGATTTTTATTCTCCAAGTACATCGTCTCTCACTCTCTCTCTCTTTCTCACACACACACACACGTGTTGGTGTCTATGCAATTCGATTATGAGGACTGTGATTACTTTGTAATTGGGTGGCAGAATTGCAGTGGAGGAGGAATTTGTCGAGTTGGAGGGCATCTGGTGCTATGACATTTGGGTGGAGTGGGTTTCAATGGTGGTGATGGTGAGAGTTTGTTGGGTGTTGAGTAATGGTGGTTTGTTTGGATGTTCAGTTGTGGCTTTCTGATAGTGAAGCCGGCGATGGTGGTGGACTGTTTGGGTGTTCAGTAGTGGCGGTGGTTGTTCAGTGGTGGTTTTATTTGATTAATATGGAGTTGTTTAATAGATGACATCACAAAGAAAATTAGAATAAAATCAAAGGGTATTTTAGGCATTTTATAAATATTGTTACCTCTACTTCAATTTACAGTTTATTTACAAATAGGAAGGAGTTAAGTGTACCTCGTAAAAGTCTAAAGTGGTAATGTCCCACTGACCCTAAGTTCCAAGAAATCCTTTGTAATTTATTCTTGGAAAAAAAAACCCCTCGTAGGAAATCTTAATTCAACAAATAATGTTTTGAATAAAGAATGAGTGTTTTAAAAGAAACGAATAGTTTGTTGTACTCTTCTTTTATTGATAATTATATATATTAATTATAAGTTTATTACTAATATTCTCTATGTTTATTTCATTTAATTACATATAATTTTCCCTCAAAAATATTTAGTTAAAATTTTACCTCTATCATATTGAACTATTTATAAATTCTCTTGTACCACATTTGAACCTCTGAATTTATCTATTTAATCATTTCCTACTACTTCACATATTTCTTCTTCTTACTATCCATAGACACGATGCGTGTGTGCACGACCTCTTAATATTGGTTTTGTCCCTTCTTGTGGAAGGTGACCTCCCATTAGGGAGATTTGTTGGAGAGTGAATGGACGGAAGTTTTTCACTACTTTTATAAACCATTAAAAGTTTTATTTTCTAAATTCAATTTAATTTTAATCTTACTTTTCAAATCTTGATACTTTTAGAAAACATCATTCAGAATGATATCTTTCAAATTGGACACTACTCATCATGCATATAGATCTCACTGTCTATTAAGCGTAAAAAAAGTCAATATAAATGGTATTTTTAAAAAACATCGTGTAAATTAGCATTTTTCAATGTAAATAGTCATTTACAATGACGTTTTTTTAAAACTACTTAAATTTGAAAAAAAATAGTTTTAAACTACTTTATTTTGAAAAATAAGATTTTCCAATTACATGAGATCCGTGAAAATTTCAGATTGATGTTGTAATTGACTAATAACTTAGTGGAAGTGATCTTTATTTGTGACCATGCAAGGGCTAGGAATTTATGTAGGGGACACTAACTATAAATTTAAAAATTTATCTTCTTAAGGATTAAAGATAAAGACACATAAATTTTTTAAATCATATATAAAACCTAAAATTTCATTGACAAAAGAGCCAAAAACTGATATACATGGGGTACAAAAACAAAAAAAAAACTACAAAATAAGGTTCTAATTAGACTGTTTTACAAAAAATGAGAATAACTATAGTCTTT